CCACTTGAGCCACAGCGCCACTTCCGGCTTTTTTCTTTTTGCTTATGTGGTGCTGAGGAATCGAACCCAGGGCCTTGAGCATGCAAGGCAAGCGCTCTACCACTGAGCCACCTTCCCAGCCCAGCTCTCTGCTTTTCTAATGACAAAGAATGTTATTCCCATGAAGTATTCAATATAGGCTATACCAGATCATAGGATTTTAACTCCTAAATAAATTATTGGCCAAGTAACTTGCCCAAGTGACATAAAAATAAGTCCAAGTGTCATTCTCACCCAGTTTGGAGGAATCCTTCTCAGAGAAAATTTGAATCCATAATTTCTCCATATGGTGGAGCTTTGAGAATTCTTCCGGAATGACTGAAAAGACATCTCGTTGATTGTCTAATTTCACAGATAATTCTTTAAGGCATGGGAACTTGTCCAAGTTAGCTAAGATTTGGTCTGAAAAGTAGCACACAGTTTATTTTGGTTCATCAGCTATTCTATTTTTTTGTTTGTTTGTTTTGTGCTGGTCATGGGGCTTGAACTCAGGGCCTGGGTGCTATCCTTCAGCTTCTTTAGCTCAAGGCTAGTGCTCTACCACTTGAGCCACAGCACCACCTGTGGCTTTTTTGAGTCGTTTATTGGAGTCTCACAGCTTTTCCTTCCCGGAATGGCTTTGAACTTCAGTCCTCAGATCTCAGCCTCCTGAGTAGCTAGGATTATAGGTGTGTGCCACTGGTGCCCGGATAGGAAAGTCTTAGTATTTGTATCGCCAGTTAACCAGGAAAAAACCAGAATGAAGCTGGGCACTGGTGGCTCATGCCTGCAATCCTAGCTGCTTGGAAGGTTGACACCAAGAGGATAGAGATTCAAAGCCAGCTCAGACAGAAAAGTCTTCAAGATTCTATCTCCAAAATAATCAGCAAATGGCCAGGCTACAGGTGGTAAAGCACCCACTGAGTAAGCAAGTCAAGAGTATAAGGCCCTAGGTTCAAGTTCTAGTATCCACAAAAAAAAAGCCTCTAGGGCTGGGAAGGTGGCTCAGTGGTAGAGCGCTTGCCTTGCATGCATGAGGCCCTGGGTTCCATTCCTCAGCACCACATAAGCAAAAAAAAAAAAAAAGCCTCTAGTTAGCCCTATGTACTTATTAGGGTAACTTTATGAAAAGAAAGGAAGAGCAAGGGGAGGACAAGTAAGGTTGATGAGGACATGGAGACCTTGGAACCCCTGCACATTGCTTCTGGGAATGTAAAACGGTGTAACCACTGTGGAATAGAGTTTGGAATGGCTGGCTCAACCATGTGATCCAGCAATTCCACTCCTAAGTATACACCCTACACAGTTCAAAACAGGGACTCAACAGGTATTTAGAACCCTGATATGCACTGCAATATTATTCACAGATAGAAACAATCCCAAATGTCTATCAATAGATGAGTAGAGACAGCATAGTGGCTCACACCTGTAATCCCAATTACTTAGAAGGCAGAGATAGGACAGTAAGGGTTTGAGGTCACGTGGGCAAAAAACTTACCAAGACCATATCTCAAAAAATGAATCAAGGCCAGGCGCTGGTAGCTCACGCCTGTAATCCTAGCTACTCAGGAGGCTGAGATCTGAGGATCGTGGTTCAAAGCCAGCCCGGGCATGAGAGACCGTGAGACTCCTATCTCCAATAAACCACCAGAGAACCAGAAGTGGTGCTGTAGCTCAAGTGGTAGAG